GGCTTACAGGAGTTTGGAAAAAGCATCATAAGTATAAAGGGCTTATAGATCTTTCCTGCATGTAAGATGAACTAGATAGGACTCAGTGTACACAAGCAAAGCTTCAGACAAGATCATGTAGAAAATAATACTATTCTATTAATAAATCTGTTAGTGGTGTGGTACTGTAATGTGTAAGATAACCTTAGCTATGAATTTTTTCCAACTGCTCTTCATTTTTTTTTTTCATTTTTCTTCATCAACACTAGTGGGTTTTTGCTTTTTTGTGTGTTGAATTGTATGGGTTGCTTTTTTTTTTTCTTTTAGTTCATTAGTACTGAGTGGGTAGAGGGTTATTTAGCTATAAGTATAGTGTATGAAATGCATAGTGGGAGAGCAAGGGTGCATTTGCACCTTTAGAAATACTGTGTTGAAAGGGAAAAAAAATACCCTGTAGATGAGAACCCTGTCATTTCTTGTGCTGCCTTTTGCTCACCAGGCTGAGAGCAGTGCTCGGGCAGGAACTGCTCACTGCTGGAAGCTGAATGTGCTTTGGCATGCCACCTGTCCTCCCTGCTCCCAAGTCCTGCTTTCTCATCATGGTGCTTTCTTGTACAGTATTTGTGGTCCTGGTGTTCTTTTGTTGTCACTTTTAGCTCAGTGGGGACACAAAGGGCACTAAAGCCTATACAGTAGTGCTGGGAAAATGAAACTTGCTACTTGTAGATAGCATATTTCTGTGTTAGCCATGCTTCACGTAGCTTACTCCAGTAACTCAAATATCCAGCACAGTACTTCCATTACTGCCTCCCATGTCTTACTTGACTTCTCACATGATAAATGGCAGGTATGTTGCTTTGGACCACAGTGCCAGGGGGCTTCACTGATGTGCCATTCCAGCCTTTCGCATGGCACTCTCTCTGTGACCCAAGCAGTCCTGAAGACTCTAGTTACTTTCCTTTGCTGAGCAAGGAATAGCTTGTAAATCTGCCAGCATTCCTCCAGGGGAATTGAACAACACCTAGCTACATCCCCAGACCTCATAGCATCCCAGTAGCTGCCACTGGACTTACAACAGAAGCAGCCAAGTAGCAGTCTATGGTAAATGGGGGGGGGATGTTTCCCTCCTCATGTTTGTGTTCATTCCCTGTTCAAAGCCTGATAGCGCAAGTGCAGCATTTACTTTCAAGGAAACACCGTACCAGATGTGCTTCATTGTTGGACTAGATAGACACTACTAAAGAGCTTCTTGTCAAAGTTCTTTTGCATCTCTTATGCATATATAGGCAGATATAGAAATTTGTACACAAAATTGGGTACAGGTGAAGGAAAGCAAAGAGATTACAAACACAGTTATAGTTTAACTGATTTGCTCTATAGATGGGAAGTAGGAGGTTTTTTTCCTAAAACTACAAAGCTTACTTCAAAAGTTTGCTAACCTGTTATCATTTAACAGGTTAAATGATCCTTCTCTGAAAAGCAAATTTACCATCAATTTAACCATCAATTAAATAAATGTTATAACTAGGCATCTTGTACTCACTTTAGACAAAATAACAAGGTTCACAGAGAGTCTGGTGAAGCACTGACACAGGCTGCCCAGAGACATTGTGAATGCCCCATCCTTGGAGGTGTTCAAGGCAAGGTTGGGTGAGTTCCTAGACACCTGGTCTAGTGCTCGATCTAGCAGCTGGCAATCCTGCCCGTGGCAGGGAGGTTGGAACTTGTTGAGTTTTGAGTTTTCTTCCAACCCAAGCCATTCTGTGATTCTGTAAGGAAGTGTACTCTCTAGTGGCAGCAGTAAAATGGTATATACTTTCTTTAAAAAAATAAAAAAATCTAATTGAAAGCCCTAACTTAAATCTGATTAGTGACTGCTGATGTGCCTTCAATGTTTATAAACAGATCTCAAACAGAGGGAAATAGTTGGTTCACCTTCCATGTCCTTATTCCCTATTGATTGTGACTCAAATATTTCTCTCAAGTGAGAACTTTCTCCTTTCCTATGCTTACATTTCTCTTGAGTATTGAGACATGCTGGCATGGCTGGAGAGGCCTGCAGTGCATCCTTTAGTTCTTGTTTGGTTTGATCTGAGCACTGATGTATTCTCTCACACAACTTTTGATTGGTAAAGGGCCTCCCCACTGTTACAGGTTTGCTCAGACACAGGAGTCCTTACATCTTGTTATATTTGCTGAAGATATATGTGACAATTTACAGCAGGCAGTTTTTTTTTTCTACAACCTCTCTGAGAATGTCATTTGCCATACAGCTCTTCTCATAATACAAGCATAAATTAATTAATAAATGCAATGATATAACTTCATTTTTTTCACAGGGTTGAATTCATTTTTGTATGTGAATAAGAATTGGTTTATTTTTCAAAATGTTTGCAAGTCTCATCAGTTTCATAAATTGTAGTGTTGATAAGTATCCATCCAAAGTCACATTACTTGTTCGTTGTTGTTTGTATTTGTGCTCCTTTAAAACAAATTTAGAACAACTCTAGGCTGGAAAGGGAACCATGTGCTGGATTTTACTGAAATTGTTTTGCTAATGTGTATTTTAGAATGATAAGGAAATATAACGTTTGTACCGATAGGCAGATAGGCAAACTAAACTCTCGAGAGTGCATCTACCCTAATAGAAATATTGTACAGTTGCTTTCTCTAAGAGTAAAAATAATAAGAAAATCTATTTAGAAAACCTCAAGTGTGCCTGTTAATTATATTCACCTTCAGATAAATAGGTTTGTGTCTGCTACTGCTTATCTTAAGAGGTCCTAATGAAAGGCTGTTAATATACGCTGTGGCTAATCCAAAATGGGCCGCAGCAAAATTAGCGGTATTTAACAGTCGTGCTACAAAGACCTTAGCAATATTACTGAACAGCCTTCTAAAAACAATGTCTTATCAGCAGGATTTCTTTCAGAAGCAGTCATCTTCTAATGCAAAGCGTAGTTGGATTTTAGGTACGTAAAAACCATCCTGTCCCAATGAAGGTAGCATAGTTCTTCGATACATCCTTCAACTTGCTTCAGCAAGACGTGTGGAAGAGCAGGGTTGGGATATCTGCTTAATAACATCCTAATGAAAACACCCCTTCTTTATTTCATAGCCACCTTGTTTCATGAAAAGAGGAGTTTCTTTTGTCCAAACCTACCTTCCTCCAGGAAACCAAACTTCCTGAGTTTTTAGAGCTGAAGTTATAGAAACAGCAACCATGAGACACCTGGATCTCCTGAAGCTGCACAAGTGACATCTATGAGGCTGCGGGCTCCACTCTCTCTTAGTGCCTTTTTCCAAGCAACTCCAAGATTGTTACTTCAAACGCCCTGACTGTTAGCATTATAAAATAGGCTAAAATGTGAAAAGCCTTCCTTTTTGCAGTCCGCTGAGCCTCCTTTCTTCACAACTCCATCAGTCCTGCAATGTGCTGGCATGGGCTTTTGTTTCTCAAGGGTTTGGTTTGGGGTTGGTTTGGGTTTAATTTTCTTTTGTGTTTATTTGTTTGCTTGTTTGTTTTCGTTTCAGTTGTATAATCAAATGTTCCCTGTTTAAAATCATAAGTTATGTAAAATTGTCTCTTGACTGCTATTCTTAGGACACAGTTATATAAACTATTTTCCTCTTCCTTGTTCATCCTCCTCTCCCTGTTAACACAGAATTCCCAGGAAAGCTAGGAAGTTCAGAAGAGCCTGAATTTCCTTTGAGCTCTGCAGCATTGCTCACAGCGCATCTCTTTGGAAACCCATTTTCCGGTTGCTGCTGTGGGTGGACTAAATGGCACCAGTGTTTCTATCTGGAATTCTTTCCACCTGCTGCCTTCTGTCACTGAGACAACACCGTTTTTTGCTCTCCTAGACCTTTCCAGATATCCTCAGGAGTAAAAATGACAAAGCTTTGTATTTTCCTTCCTTCTTCATCCTGCCTTTTGAAAAAGTAAATTCCTTAACAAGGGATAAACAAGTCTCAACAATTAAATTGGATATAATTTTTGCATCTTTATACTTGGCCTAGTTGAACTCTTTCCCAAAGTGAGGCTTGTTTTTTGTTTCTTTTAAAAAACAAAATATCTCACAGATTTTCCTTTGTGAGATCTGAAAACAATGGATTTTGAGAATCACGGAAAGATTCATACTTTATTACAAATAAGTATTATTCACAGCAAAATAGGGTATGTGCTGACACCAGCTGGGCTTTTGAAAGTGCCCTGTGTGCAGAGATTGCGCAAATACACAAAAAACTCTTCAGCAAACAACTTAGCAACATGCTGTTTATTCCACCTCTCTATTTCTCTTTTCTTTGCTAACACGGGTCCTCAAAGATTCGTGAGTTCTCAAGTCCTAGCTTTTGGATGTCAGCGTGGTTTGAAAGTCATGTGATTTCCTACTCAATCTTACCCTTCATCTGAAGTGGCACAGTGCTAGATTGCCAGCTAAAATAACAAAAAGAAACAGATTGCATTGTGCCACCTCTTTTTCTATTTCAAACATAAGCTGCTGACAGGGTATCTTTCCGTGCTTATAGCATGTTTGGTGGATTTCGGGCACATTCTTTGCTTTCTTTCTCCTCATTCATGTGACCCTTTTCCAGTGTTTCCAAATGAGTTCATGTCTTTTAAGTATAGAGGAAACCAACCCAAGTTGGTTAGGATGTGTATTGTTCTCGATTATTTTTTTCTTAATTAGTCTTTGTTCCGTTTTGTTTGGTTGGTTTGTGGGTTTTTTTGTTGTTGTTTTTTTTTCTCCAAACGTGTCTACAAAAAGCAAACATGTAACTTTCTGCCCTAAATACCTCTTTTGATGGGACAAGATGTCATACTGAAACAGTGCCATGTTTCTGTCCTCACAAGCATACGTGCATGCAGATTAGAAAAGCTCTGTAGTGCTGCAACTGTATGCCAGATTTGCTATTTGCTCTTGTTTGCATGATAGTAATTCTAATATACTAATATGATATGGAAATAATGGCACATCACCGTTCTCTCAACATATTGTATCACTGCTTTATCATATTAGGCTAATACACTGCGAGAGTTGATAGCACCTCTCCATGTCAAATCGGATCCACTTCTCTTGGCACTGAACCGATTGGACTCAAAGGTTGATAAACTTATCATTAGCGATTGGCACGACGGAGACTCAACTTCAGCCTCTTGCAAGACACCTAATGGCCTCCGTTCAGAAAGTCAATTCTTCTTGAATAACATTGGTGTTTATAAAAGAGACTAGACCTGTTAAAGCGTAGACAACCACATGCCTGGATATGAGGCCTCCAGGAAGGTGTCAAGGGCATGGCCACTCTTTTGAAGAATGCACCCTTTCCACAATGGGACTAGGCACAAGGTCAGATCCAGTCTACACGGAGCACATTTGCAGAAAATACTGCCCCGCATGGGAGTACGGAAGGGGAAGAGGGTCTTGACAGGGGAAGGGCTTTGATGTCACTCAGTTTTGTTCTGCAGACCTCGAGGAATTAAAGAGGGATTCGGCCATGGTAACTCTAAAATCCTGTTGCTTTTACTGAACTGCAGTGAATCCATTCCGGCCAACCAGACAGATTGTGCCATTTAAGCGTCCTTCACTAATGTGAAGGATGCTACCTTTCTATATCATGCTAAACTAAGTGTATTCTGTCAAGTGAAGGTGTGTGCAGACCTTTCAGAGACTTCTATTTCTCTAACGATTTGTAACGCATTACCGGAGGGTACACTGACACTGGTTTGGATGATGATGGAGAAGATACCTCACGCTGAGATTTCTTATACTCTGCAGATAACTCTTCAGTTCCTCTTTATCTTCTAGGAGTTAAACATGTGAGTGATGCTGCCTGGAGAAGCAGGCACAAAGTATTCTCTGTATAACACCCCGACTCCAGAGGGCTGTTTGGGGGCCAGTATTCGTCTGGATGTCACTCAAAGTAGATGCAGATATTGTATTTATCATTATGTTCTGAGTCCCCTATGGGTTGATGTTTGCCTCTATCTCTGTGGTTAGAATGTGGATTTTCCTTAATATATTTGGCTAAGGGTGTATTGTAATAATGTTAATGCTAATTACTTGATATTTCATACTATCTTACGGGGAGATACTTTTAAAAATGTATTTTGAAATGTTTTCTTTCTGTTTGCTCAATGTATGGTATTGCATTATGTTAATACCAATAAAATTATATATATATAGTTATATATATTTCCCTTTTATAAAGAAGTAAATTATGCTTTTTTGCCTCACAGATGAAATGTGCAGTGAATAAAATACATCATTCTGCCTTACAGCAGGTGACAAAGCTTATAATAGTTTTAATATTCTTTTTTGAAAAATAAAAAGTATAGTATGACATAAACTAGTTGGAAATTCATCAAAATGCATGTTGTGTTTCTGCTTAATGCGACTGTCACAAATCAGCCTAAGTATTTATCAATGTTGTTTTGGCATCTTTAATTTTTTCCAATCAGAAGACATACACTGTATTGCTATTATTGATTACAAAATTGTACTTTCATGACTTTGTGCCTGTTGGCCAAATAGACAAGCCCACTGAGTTTTTATGACTCTCTTGTCTGAAGGAATTGATTTTTAAATTTAATTCAGTGCTTTTTCCAATGCTTGGCAAAGGCAGAATTTATTTTTTATATAAGGTTGCCTTTGAAGTACCTGCCTCTGCCAGGGCTGATAAATCATGGCTAAGCACATAAAGGTTCTGCAACCTGAAGGATGTAATGTATCATTAAAACTCTGCTGGAATGGCCTGAAACCTGAGCCAGTCTTTCACGTTCTGTCATTAAACTCCATAATTAGTTAGAGATGAAATGTTTTGCAAATGAATTAGAGAAGCAGAAGCAAAGATGTGAATCTAAAGTATCCTTTGGCTGCCATTCTGGGTTACGCTGATGGCTTGTTTGCAGCCTGTAGCCACAGGCATGCATATATCTGCACTAACATGAATTAGATCGTCTTCAGCTTCCTCTTTCTTTTCCCCACCCTTTCTAACATATTGTATTGAGTATCATTGTTTTGCAGAGACATTCAAGAGGGCTGTAATTAGCAGTCCCTGGCATTTAATTGCATACCCATTTGTTAAATATTTTTCTGTATGCCTTAAAATAAAGTATAGAAAATGGCAGTAATGTTTCTTTAATGAAGGCATTTGATTTATTCATGAAGTCAGGATTTTTGAAAGTGTTATTTTGGGCTTAATAAAGGAATAAGCCAGTAACTTCTCAGCTTTGCCATTGTCTGTAAGGGCTGATGGTCACTTCCTTCTTTTTTGTTTCTTTTGTGTGCAAACGCGTTCTTCCTAATGGATGGGGAATAGACCTTTCTTCTGTGATTGCTGTTATGCCAGTTTTGAGAGAAAGTTTATGTTAAGGTGCCTGTATGTTCACAAGTTCATTGGCCATTATAACACACGATGACATGAGTGATGACTGGAAAAGCCACATGGCATTGCATTTCTCTTGCCATTACTGAACATACAGCACTTGTTCTCAAAGGTACTGGGCAGGGACTGAACTCTGTTCAGTGCTTACAAACCGTGGTGGTGTGATGGGCATTCAGCAGCTGGTGAGGCTGCTTGAGATCTGGCAGTGCCATGCCCCAAATAAATGTGTAAATCAGGGTACAGATTCGTTAGTCTGGGATCTAATCAGTGCAGCTATCACAACATGTGCAATTATAAATCCCATAATAAATCTGAATATCTGAATAAATAAGACATCTTCTGAGATAACATCTTCCAAAATATTTCAGGCCCCCTTCACAAGTGCCTCAGGAGCTGCTTCCCTAGCTGGCTGCTGTGCAATATGGAGGTAATCGAGCTGGTTAAAAGACACTAGTTCCTGCCCACGCTGATGTACCGCATTTCTTTCATGTAGAAATTGGGATTTATACTCCTGGGTGATGCAAATGCTTTTTAAAATTTCACTCAGTGTTTGATTTTCATCCAAATAAGCAAACCTGGGATGCAGCCTGAAGTAGAGTTCATTTTCTCAGTGGATATTGCTCACCAGGAACACTACTGCTTCCATTCAGGCTTGCTTTCAGGTACCAAGGCCATCAGCTGTGACAGGTATTGCCGCTGAACAAGCACAACTGTGGCTTGATTTTGAGCGGTGAGTAATGTTGCCAGGTCCATATTGCTTGTCACTTAACTTTTCACAGCTTTGTATGCTGTAACAGCTTAGGTTTGTGAAAAAAATATTTTCCTGAAGGAGTAATAGCTTCCATATATTGCTTGCGGGATGGATCCATAGGGACAGCCTCATCCTGTTTAAAAGTCACAGCATCCCCAGAAGTATAGCGATTTATCTACTCTGCTTCAGAGCTGGCTTACCTCGTACATACAAGAAGTTTTTCATTGTTTCTGAACTGAGGGGACTAAGGGGAAGCATACCACCAAAATCCAATTGCTTTGTTTATTTCACCTCAATATTGGTACCTTGCGATGAATAGTGCTTATACCGATCTGTGGCAAAGAAAAATGTCAAGATACCCTCTTTCATTGTGCTAAAATTCTCCCAGACAGTCAATAAAATCTGCTCAGGGAATGAGAGTTAAACTGATTTCTTCATAGGCAACTTAATGAGTAGAGAGCACTGTGACAAATACCAAAGGATGCAATTATAACACTGCTGCCATGAAGTTCTGCCACTGATCAGAGTCCTCTGTTACATTGAGTTATTTCAGCCTCATTCTTATGCCCTCTCTGAAACCGTAGCCTACCAATATAACTTCATGAAACAGCAGGGCAGAGAGCGCGAGGCGTTTCTCCTGTTGCCCATTCGAGATGTGTAAGAGCTGTCAAGAGGCTACACGAACAGAGTGAGCTAATTATTCCCTCTGTCTGTGTTCTCCCTTTGCACTAACATATTAACCCATTTACAAGCACCTGTACTTCATTGCTAAGAGGATGCTGAAAGTGCCTGAACGTTAGTGTCAGCACGACAGTGCAGGTCTGCAGAGAGGAACATTGTGACTCGTGGTACTTTTTAAATGTTTCAGTTTTTTTTCAAGCTGAGTTTGGCATCAGCCATTTTTAATAACCCATTCTATTTGCACTGAGAATTCAAGAACAGTGTCTGGTGTGGGCTTGGAGCAAGGCCAGCCCAAGTGTTGTGCTTCAGCCCACAGAACACCGTCTGTGGCCAATGGTGGCTGATGAGGGCAAGGCTGTGACAAGGAGCAGGCAGCCTTTCATTAATTCACCAGAGAGGTGACCTAAGAGGAGAAGAGAGATTCACAGGGAGATCCAAAAAGAATACTGCCATAAATGTCTAGACCTTTGATGCTTCAGCAATTGGTCCAGTATCTCTCAGGTCTTACAAAAGCTAGCGTCAGATCCTTTAAAAGTGACTGTGGTCTCTGACTGCTGCTGACTGTGAAATACCTTCTAAAATCTGTCCCATGGGAGATGGGCTTTCCACTTGCCTGCACTGTTCACTTTATTTCAGGAAAACAGCGTATACTCATTCAGGTGAAAGGCAGAATCACTGCTCCTGTAGGGAACACCAGCATAAAGCAGAGCTGGCTTGGGCTGGTACCCTCAGCAAGGGAGCTCCCCCTGGAGCTCTGCCTGCAGGTTTACCTAATGGGAGAGGATAGAAACCATGTTCAGCTAGCTGATAACCAAAAAGTACTGCCTCTTTAGAGGAAAAGATAGCATAAAATGTAAAATTAATACTAGTTTTCTGATCCTCCACTCAAAGCTTGATTTTAAACATTGTTCCTCCCTTTCTTGAACAAAGATTATGGGGAGAATCTTGTGCTTTCAGGTACATGGATCAGCATTTTAATGGAGGATTGCATAAATCAGAAAAGGGCAGGCAAGGAGAAGGGATAACAGAGAGAAGGGCTGCTAAGTCCAGGTGCTGCATGTTAAGTCCATAGCTTTTCTTAAGCATTTCTTCAGCTTGCTCACTCTTTTCTTCACTCATGGACAGCTCTCAATAGATTTACACGCATAGATTTATATATATACACTTCTATCTATATATTCACTCACATGCCATTCTTGATTTTTTCCATGAATGTGGAGTTAGAGAAGACACAGGTTTCTCTTTGTGCTCTAGCAGGGAAATCTGCTCCTCATGACTCAGAGCAGATGACTTAGCAGCTGGCTTCCATACAGACCTGACTTGTGTCTCCTGCTGCCTCCTGCCACCTGCTCTGTGTCTTGCACAAGCACTGAGATGTGGCTGCTGATGCTCTCCTAGCAAGAGCTGATCTCCCTTGTCACTGTGCTCCCCACACTCACAATCAGAGCAAACTTGGTACACTGCATGCAGTCTCCTTGTAAAATTCCATCTGCCAGTGGTTTTACCATCATCTTCCTTTGATGACGCAGAGAGGGGGAAAGCAAACACCTAGTTTTTCTGCCTGCCATCCGCCCAAATAGTGTAATAAATGACTGTAATTCCTGTTTTCTTTGCACCATAAGCA